TTTATCATCAGGGGCCATAATAAGAGTTTCAGTCTTGTTTGCATTTAACTGCAGGTAGTTGTAGTTTACTTACTTTTGGCTTGTAACTATCTTTTTGCCACATTTAGCTTTAAGCTGACACTTTGCTACTTCTTTTAGCTACCCTTTTGCTATTTTAAGCTAACTTTTGGGTGTGTCTAGGTGGCATTTTGCTACTTTTAGCTTTTAGCTATATTTCTGCTACATTTAGCATTTGGCTTCTTTTGGCTTTGAGCYRGAATTTTGCTAYTTTTAGGTTTCAGTTACCATTTTGATACTTTTAGCTTTTAACCAGAATTTGCCATTTGCTATTTTAGCCTTTTAGCCAATGTTTTGCACTTTTGGTCTTTAAGTTAGTGTTCTGCTTCTTTTAGTTTGAACTCTTTGACTTCAGCAGCCAACGTTCAAACTGTGTTTCCACAGAAAAATGCACTTTTTGAATGAACTCTGTTCTGCTGGATCTTTTCTGCATCAAACATTAAAAAGACTTGAGTCGCTCAGGTGGGTGTGAAAGTTACCTGAGAATGTCCRTTGACCTCCACCTCCTCAGCGAAGTGAACTTTGACAGGGTTGGACCTGAGCTTGGCCCTCTTCTCCGGAGTGATGAAGGATGACTTCGGGCCCTGGGAATGAGCAACACATTTATAAAGAGCCATTTRTTACAGATTCCTTAAATCTCTGTAATGATTTCCTGGAGGAGAGGTGAGTGATGAATCGCTCCGTAAAGGTGCTTCCATCAGCACAACCGCTGAGAGGAGCTCAGAGGAAGAGTCAGTTATTTACTAATCTACCTCTCTATAACGCAAACACACACATGGGTTCAGAGACACAGTCTGAGGCTCACACATGCAGAAGACGTGATTTAAACACAGCTGYAGGGTCTAACATGTCAGCTGTCAGGGCGAAGGAGGAGTGGAAACTTGGAGAGAAGATTGTTGAATCATTTACATCTCAAGCCAAGAAACTCAGTTTTTTTGCAGACTCTGTGAACACTGCAGCCGTTCAGCAGCTTTCACTCACATCTAATGCTTCAGACTGCAGAAACCTTTGTCCTCATTAATATTTTACTTTTCACAATTAAAGCCTGAGTGAAAAAGTTGCTTTTTATTTAAAGATACATTTTTCTAAAAGCGGTCTTTGTTGGTTAAAGTCAGCAGACTCACCTGCATGATTCTGACGACCGTCATGGTCAGCGTTTCCTGACACTCCCTGGAAAACAGGACGGGAGGGGGGTACGAGGGGCTCAGAAATGATACAAACTTCTTTGTTTCAACTAGAATTACCTGCAGCATCAGTAACCAGACGTGTGTGTGTGTGTGTGTGTGTGTGTGTGTGTGTGTGTGTGTGTGTGTGTGTGTGTGTGTGTGTGTGTGTGTGT